AAGAATATGAGTTGCTTGTTTGAAGGCTTCATAGTGGATTTGACACCGGCAGTATAGCACAGGCACGGCGTTGCCATCCTTCCCTTCCAGCTCTGGAGAGGCTGAGGGAAAGAACACAAACCACAATCTAAATTTTATATTTTTAAAAATGCAGAAACACTAAAAAAGGGTAGCTTAAAAATACACATCCTAAGTAATTTGCAAGATGCAAACTTAATGTGAAATTTTAACCAATATTCACAGAATCATAGAATGGTTTGGGCTGGAAAGGACCTTAGAGATCATCGAGTTCCAACCCCCCTGCCATGGGCAGGGACACCCTCCACTAGCCCAGGTTGCTCAAAGCCTCATCCAGCCTGGCCTTGAACACCTCCAGGGATGGGGCATCCACAGCTTCCCTGGGCAACCTGGGCCACTGCCTCACCACCCTCACAGTAAAGAATTTATTTCTAACATCTAATCTAAATCTACCCTCTTCCAATTTAAATCCATAAAATAAAATTGAAAATCCATTCATAAAATATTATTCTGCAATGTTTGTCCAACTCAACTATCCTGTTCACATCATGATGCCAAAGGCGCATGATATTCCTGTACATCCTATATTTTGCTCTAAAATGGATAAAAAACTATGTAGATCTCTGTATAAGGGGAATACACTTTCCCACAAATCTTCTGAAAGACTCAGAGCAAGGATGAGTACAGCAGTTTGCGAACATGAAACAAGAGCACAGCGGTCGCAATAGGAAATACCAGCAGGTAGCAGGTCTTTTGTGTGTCCTGTGGCATGATATTGTGTGTCACAACTCTATGTGCTCCACAAAAAATCTCATCTCTTCTGTCAGACAGACAGTATTGGCTACAATACAGGATAAAATGCCTGTGAAATAGATGTGTGGCTCACTAATGTCAAATGTCTTAGCTTTTCATGAAAATAACGTGGGATTCTCCTGAACAAACAGCTCGAGTTGTAGGCAAAGCTTGAAAGCAAGACAAAATCTGCAGCTAGTAGAATCAGTGATATAAAACTGATTTAAAGATTTATTTGTAATGTGTACTTTGCATGACTAATACACTCACTGTGTGATGTAGCCATTTCAACTAATCAGCAGATTAACCCTGATGTTTCTGCTTTATTTCTTTTTTAAACACACTCTCTTGGATAAGGAATGCAATTTATTATCACAGAACTGCCTTTGACTGATGCTCTGTTGTTATCCATTTATATTTACATGAATACTAATGGTGCAATACTATTATACAATACTGAAGTTAACGTATACTGCATAGTTTATTGGGTTTCTGTAAAATAAGAACTATTTTTGAGATTCCTTAGTCATGACAACACAACATATGAGAAGCCATTACACTTCAGGATTTTCATCCAAATATATTTTTTCTTGCAGAGAGTCTGTAATTTAATTAGTAAAGATCATGTATTTTCCTAAATGTTGTGTCTTAGATTGGTAAAATTTCACGTGGAGAAACTCAAGTTACTTAAAATCTGATAGAAATAGTGAACGTTGGTTGAAATTTGTAAAATTTGAAGTTACATTACGGTGCAATTATTAGCAGTGCCTGCCCTCTTTTACTGAGCATTCTGCCTGAGAAACACTGAGAATTACATTGATAACATTGTCATTTACCGTTTTACCTTCTGCTCTGAAATTAACTTTGTGGTTTATGGTTAGTATATGTAGCAGAACAAGATAGCATCTAAGTTATTTTAAATCACTGAACTGTGTGTGTATATATATATTTAAAAGAATACTAAGGAGAGTTATTCTTTTCATTGTCTGCTCTTAATGAGGAATGAAACTTGATTTTAAACAAGAGAGCTGGTAGGGTTGAGCCTCTTTTTGAAGAGATGAGCATCACTGAAGTCAAAATGCTTTAGACACGTGTAAAACAATCTGATTGTTATTTCTATTTAGGCATTAGCTAAACTGCTAGAGACAATAAGAACAAATGAAACTTCTATTTCTTTAACAAATGCTTTTCTTTGTTCTTCCTTGGTCGTACAGTCATTCCCAGCACAGCACTGCAACGCGTCCACCCACAGTGAGCTTGCAGCGGACCATTTCTGTGGAAGGGTAAGACGATTCTCCTGTAGAGCTCTCAGATACCACTAAGCCAGACCCTGAACTACCCACATACATGTGGCTGTTCACTAGGTGTGCTTCTGTGTGTGGTGTTTAAGTCTGTGAGATGAAGACAGAAATACTTTCAAATTAGTGCTGATCCTTTCTAGATACTTACACCGAAAGGTTTAGTTTTCATGGAGATGAGAATATCTGTCATGGAGATGTATTAACTACAATCTCTTTAATTCATCTCACTTGACTAGTGCTAATATTTACATGTGTTAGCTGTAAAATGGTTCCCACTAATCATGGAAATACCCAGTGAATTCTTACTCCGTTTTCTTAATGTCTGCACGAGTTCTTTTTGACAAAGCCCTGTCCCGAACTAAGGATGAAGTACCAATAGAAAACAATCATCCTGTACTGGTATATATCTGTGTATAGTAATGTGTTAATTGTAGAAACATAGATCTGAGTACTTAGCTGACTCTATTTTAATAAAAATAATTGGGTAAAATATGAATAATTCACAACCACGGTTTATATTCTTGCATCTTTACAATATTAGAAAAGCTGATCTTTAACACTGAAACACAGATTTTGGTTGCACTGACTGGTGCAGTTTACAAAAAATGTTGGATTTATGTCTCCTTTCCCATTAATGTGTGGAACTGTTTGAAATATTTTGTAGCTAATAACTTGGCATTGTCTGCTCTCAGGCCCTATTTCAAAGCTCTTCTTTCTTGTGATAAAAGTGAGAATCCAAAGTTTCCACAGAGGAAAGATATCATCTTTTTTGTTTTTTGTTTTATGTTACAACCTTACTGTGGTGCAGTCAGAAAATGAAATGATAGATATGTGAAATAATCCACTCTTAAGTGAAGCCCGAAATGTTTTTTTCCACAAGTCTCATTTTTGTCTTTCTTACCTAGTCCTAACGTCTAGGATTTTAAGGTTTTATTTAAAATGTGTAGGACAGCTGTAGTAATTACTCATTGAAAACAAGACTGAGCAATGAAATTGCTGCAGGAAAGGTGCATATGGCTTAAGGGCTGTCATCTGGAAAGTCATTCTATCAATGAAACATCCATGTTGTTGCTCAAAACAGGGCTAATTTCAAGTTAGATGTGGTTGCTTAGAATCTTGTCCAGTGAAGCTGCGACTATCACCAAATGTGGAGATTGCACAGCTTCTGGGCAACCTGTCTCAATGCTTAAACACCTTCATTTTGGATTTCTTTTCTTATCTCTCCCTTTCTCACCAAGGAGAACAGAGAGAGTAATAATGAATTCCCCTATCTTTTCCTCAAACCAGCTAATGAATAAATTGATGTTTGAAATAAAACTGAGCTTCAAGAACAATTTTATCAATTAAAATGGTAATTGGATTTAAAAAGAAAAGGAAAAAGAAAAAAGAAAAAATAATTTGCTAAATTGAGATTGAGGGGAAAAAGAAAAAATAATTTGCTAAATTGAGATTTAAGAAAAGAAATTCTATTATGATGTCTCTGACTTGGTCTGTTGGGACTCCATAATTCAGGTAGTATCCTGTAGGTTTAGACTCCTACTGAAATTTGGAAATCAATCTGTCTACATGAACTTCTAGATAAATTGCAGGATCTGTACTGTCCACGCAGACAACTTGAATATATTGTGTATGAATCATTAGAGCGCAGGAAATCTGCAATTGATATTACAGGTCTCCTGCTGTTCAGGAGGCAAAAGAATATCTGGCTTGTAATTATTACTAATCAACTTACACTGAGTCATGTTTCATTTCGCGTAGGAAAGCGGGACTGTTAGCCTGTTACACCGCTGAGCAAAAATAAGTAATCACCTCAGCCCTAAATATCTCATTATGTTAAAGCTCAATTTATTCTGACGTTTTTGCAAACTCCATGCTGCTAAGTGTGTTTATAGCTAATACAATTTGAGGTCAAAACAAAGTTATTTTTCTCTTTGGGGAACCACATTTCTATCAGTAGAGTCCTGTATTTAGGTGACTCATCATATTGCTTTTGAGATGCACTTTGGAAATAGCTGCTTTACCTGCAAGGCATCCCTGGCACGCACAGAGGGTTGTGGCCTGTACGCCAGCTCTGTGTGACCAACTGTGTCGTCACTGCAGTAATATAATTTTTGGGTCCTGTCAAGGAGAAATGAAATATGGGAGGGTTAAAGAAATACAGGGGGAATTGCATTTGCTGGCATTTATTCCTTTCCACCCTGTTGAATATGTGATAATTGAGCTGGCTAGAATAGATTTTTAAAAAACTTTTAAGATATTTTTCATCTAGGTAATGGGTTGATACATTAGAATATATATATATTTTTTTTTTAGGGAGGGCTTTTGTGGACTTCATGTACAGCAAAAAAAATAGCAAGGTGAAAAAAATGAAGATTTAAAGATTAAATTTTCTTTATATTCAAGCCATATGTTCTTTACAGTATAATAACTGTACATGAGGTGAACAGATTTATTATATGTATAAAGGCATGAACTTCACAGGTGTTTGATGTCATTGTCAGTGAGAGCTAATTAGTAACTTTCCTAATGGTTTATTTGCATGGTTTAAAAACAAGAAAACTTTTGACATTGGAATTTGACAATATTGTTGGTTTGAGGATTTTGAAATGGTTTTAATGAAAAATTTTGACTGTGAGTATTCAGAATAGGAAAAATAGTGGATAAAAACTAAAAGCTGTTATTTGGAAATCCTGCTGTATGACCGCACAAAGCTATATTGTTAGTGGTGTATGAGAGCTATTCTCTCTGCAGTTGACGTTCAAACTAAATTGTATTTCATATGCTACCGGTCATCTCTTCTGCTGAGCTGCTTAGAATCTGGGATTTCAACTTATCTGATCAAGAGTGTTTTGATGGAAATTTTAAACAGTTTTATCAACATGACTATCTCAAATATATATCAATATTTATACATAAATAAACAGCATTTGAACCGTGACTAAGGGTAAGAATTTTTATTCTTAACAGGACAGATAGTACAGACAGCTTTGTGTTTCAAAAGTGTCTTACATAAAGTAATTTTGGACACTTTCTACTAACGGACTGTGTATTGATATTTTGAAACATGGCTTGGAGGCACTGCTATTTTTAGGCATTCTTTCAGCCTTTGAATCCTTCCTGTCTCCTGACAGTGCAATGCAGTTGCCTATCACTGTTTCCATCTCATCTAGCTTTGTTTACAAATGGAAAAGCTGGAGCGTTCATGGTAAATAGAGCCATCGAATGCTGTTACTAATGTTTTATAGTAAAGTGGTTTCAATATGGAACCAATAGCTTTTAAAAGCAGGATGGATGCAAAGCGACCTTTCTCGTACAGAGTTGTCTGTGTTGGGTAGAGCAGGTAGAACAGAGATGCAGTTTTCAGGATTTATTTTGATCATTAATACGTGAATAATGCACCTCCTGGATCAGGGAAGAGAGACAAGTACTTATGTGTGACAAAGTATAACTGAATAAGTGTGCTGGAACAATCATCCCTCTTTCAAAGTTAAAGAGCATATTAGCAGTCCTACATCGTCGCTCTAGAAATCAATGAGCTTTCTCAAATCTAGGAGACATACTCCTGTGCATTTAAAGTAAATGTGAAATGTCATGGTAAAAATATAAACCAGTTTTTCAAATAAGAGATTTCTCCTATATGCCAATTCCATCTTGCTAGCTGTAAGCAGAAAACATTGCCTGGTGTCCAGTCTTTAATTTCTCAGCAAAAGACAAAGTGAAAGATGGCTAAAGTCCAGAGGGGTTCCCACAAAACAAATAAACTTGCACATGTATAAGCCAGGGCACTCATGCATGCATCAGTCAGGTTGAAGCCTGGCTCCCAGTAGGTTCCCTCGTATGAAATATACTTCAAAGTTTGTGACAAGTTAGACGTGATGTTTGCAGAATAAATGCATTAAAAATGTAGTCAGTATTAAAGTTAAGATAATGTATTGCTTCTACAGTTAATGCCAACATTCAATCACCAAGAAATGCAAAGAAAACCACAGTCAAATAAACAGATAAAATACTTGTTTCAAGCAGAACGGGTCACTGTAGCAAGCAAAATTATGTTTTGCTATGTTGTATGACAAATGAACATCTCAGTAAAGGCTGAATGCTTAGTTGTTAGTATATCAACATTTAGTAAAATGGAACAATAAGTCACTAACCAGTTACATGTAATGGAAATGAACTCTTTGCACATGACCAAAACGTTGTCTCAGTTTAAGAAGGCAAAGTTACCCCTCTGGGCTGTGATGCTCAATCTGAAAGCAATAGATAAGAGGAAGGCTTCCTTATTTTTGTTCTTTTCAATCATTATTGAAATCAAGATAATGATAATTAAAGTCACAAGTCAGGGATCAGGCCCCACTGGGTCAGCTGCACCACTGATGGGTAACGCCGATGAGTTCAGCCTCTCCTCGGCTCCGAGATGCTAAAGAGCCGGGAACTGGAGCAAGGAAGGTCTGCCAGCTCCCTGCCCCTGCCAGGTCCTGGTGTTCTGGAAACTCCTCACAAACGGAGATCAGAGGGAGAGCAGCGGAGGAACGCAGGGTAGTGCTGTTTCACTTCGTGGTGGAAAGATTTTGCCAAGTCTAAGAGAGGAATAACAAGGGGAAAAGTAAAAGCCAAGATACCACCGAAGTGATATTGCAATAAAACAATAAGTGAGAGAACTACAGACAGATTTTTCTCTAAATTGTTGTGAAGCACAGCTGTAGAAGGTGTTAAAGAAAATTTAAACAAGCCAAGTAAGTTTGAGTTTTGCTTCGATGCCTTCTTAAAAGGTGTGTGTGCATATTCTGGGCCTTCAGCTGCTTAAGATTTCAAATTCTCTCTTGTGTCATTAATCACATTTCAAAACCACACACGCTGGCACGTTCTCTGTCCATCCTAGCTTTCTGTGCTAAATGCTGCGAAGAACAACACTCAATCTGTTTGAATTACCTTGTTAGGTCCTTCCAGTGTGAATGTTCTTTAATAAATAAATGGATATTTAT